AAACGTTAACTCTGTTTTCTCCTCCACAGATGCTGCCAGACCTGCTGAGCTTTTCCAGCAACTTTGTTTTTGTTCCTGATTTACAGCATCCGCAGTTCTTTTGGTTTCTATCTTATCTACTCCATTCATAATTTTATATGTTTCTATAAGATCCCCCTCATTCTTCTAAATTCCAATGAGTATAGTCCCAGTCTACTCAATCTCTCCTTATAAACCAACCCTCTCAACTCTGAATTAACCTAATGAACCATCCAGTGCTAGTACATCCTTTCTCAAGTAAGGAGACCAAAACGGTACACAGTACGTCTAACCAGAACCCTATACAGCTGTAGCATAACCTCCCAGTTTTTAAACTCTATCCCTGTAGCAATGAAGGACAACATTCCATGTGCTTTCTTAATTACTTGCTGCAGCTGCAAACCAACTTTTTGTGATTCATGCACAAGGTCCCTTTGCACAGCAGCATGCTGCAATTTTTCACCGTTTAAACAATAGCCCATTTTTGCTGTTATTCCTATCAAAATGGATGATCTCACATTTACCTCACAAGTATCTCCCCGAAACTAACTTCCCTCTTTCTTTTCCGTATGGTTCTCTCATGTTGGATTACATGGTCCCCAGTGGGGTGAGGGAGGTGGAATGGAAGTGTGTGATCTACTCGCATTCCCGCACCCTCCCCAAGCGAATAAGACATCAGATGACCAATCAACAGCCACCAGTCTGGGAGGTGGCGAATTACCATTTGTCACCGGGGAGAGGACTCAGCACCCAATCCAATGGGGGAGGCAGTGGCATAATGGTAAATGCACAAGACTATTACTCCAGAACCACAGGCCATTGTTCTGGGCACATGGGTTCAAATCTCATCATGGCAGATGGTGAAGTTTGAACTCAAGAGAAAAAAAAGGTCTAAAATGTAAAGAAGCTAGTCTGTTGGTAGTTGTGAAACTTTGGAACTTTTTGTGAAAATCTGTCTGATGCACTAATTTCCTTTGTTTGTAATTTGTTGTCCTTATCTGGGCTGGCCTACATATGACTCCAGACCAACAGCAGTATAGCTGACACTCTGGGCAGTTAGGGAGGTGGAATAAGTAGTCAACGATGCCCACATCCCAAGAACAAATTTAGAGAAAATCAGGTCAGGATGAGGGGTCAGGCTATTAACCTGAGTTCTGTCACAGCCACCAATTTCTATATCACAGGCTGCCTCACCCCCCTCTATACCTGTTCTCCCATCCTGTAAAATACCTAAAGGAATCTACGACCAACCAGGGCTGTCACTTTTAGCGTACTACCACGCTCAGTCATGGTCCCATCAGCAATCCTTTCAATCTCCCCTAGTGGTGAACCCACCTACCTGGCAGGAATCTCACCTGATTAACTTCCCGAACAACTAAGGGGTCGCCCGTTAATGACAGAGATGAGGAGGAATTTATTCTTTCAGAGGGTAGTGAAATCTGTGAAATTCTTTACTGCAGAGTCTGGGTCATTCCGTGTATTCAAGGCTGAGTTAGATTTTTAATCAGTCAAGGAATCAAGGGTCAGGGGAAGTGGGGATGAGGATGATCAGATCAACCATGACTTCATTGAGTGGCATAGCAGATCCAACGGGCTGATTGGCCTCTACTGCTACATCTTATGGACTGCAGAAAAATCAATTAGAACAAAGAACAACCCAGGAGCAGGCCCTTCGGCCCTCCAAGCCTGCGCCGACTCATTGTGCGGTATAAATTTACTGACAATTGCACCTACAATAAAATCGATAGCTTGTTCATCGTTTTTTCTTAAATGGGGTACAGGCTTCTGATTTCAATGCCCCTTCACCTTCCACATTATCAAAGACTGACACAATGAATTGGGATTACTGGTCCGACAACGTCACACCCATAATTCCTGCTGAGGAACGAGGGGTGGGAACAGGTGTCATCTCACCCTCAGATGATCAGCTGCAAGATCCAGTCCAGTGTGTTATGGACCAGACAAAAGCCTCTCAAAATATACTATGACGATAGCCTAGATCCTAACTTTTTCTTGTTTTAAAGGCGAGTGCCAGGTGTTGCGTTCCAGATGCAATTTGATTGATCAGACTACCGATCTTGAAGCACTATAGTCAAAAGATAACAAAAGAAAGAATTGGACTGACTTAACTCTATTGGAAAACTTAACAGAATAATAGATCACAACTTTTCAAATATCGTAACATCCTATAAACATACCCTTGGCAAAGGCAAATTCAGTAAAATAAATTGTCTCACAGCCAATTCTGTAGTTCTCTTGACAAAAAGTCAATAGAAAACTCTGAATGAGAGAGAGTAGGAGGGAGAGATGTACTATAGCTTCCAAAACCCAGCTTCAAGGTCCCAGCAACAACTGCTACTGAAAAACTGAAAATCCTGATTCTGTGGGAGCTTGACCATTCAGGCTGCTTCTATTGTTCTGATTTTTTTTTAAAACCCCAAGGCCTCACAAGCTGTTTATTTTATTGAATTCAAATAGACAGCTCAGCGCGTCTATCTTAAAACCTCTCTTCAAAAAGAAACAAATAAATCCATAGTATTGTCACAAAGTGCCCTGTATCAGTGTGAACAAGGATTCCTGTGGAGCTTCCAACTGTTTGAGGTTAATGTCCAGGACATGGCTCCAAATGACCTGGGGAGGGAGAAAACAAATGTGTAATGAATCATCAATGCTCGGTTGTCTTTCTGTGGAAAGACAGTACATTGCAAAGATGGAGATGTTAATGATGGATGGTGGGTGTTGAGAAACATATAAAATAGGAGCAGGAATAGGACATTTGGCCCTTCAAGCTTGTTCACCATTAAATATGATTGTGACTGATCAGTCCCCTGTTCCCAATTTCTCCCATTGCCTTCGATCCCTTTAGGTCCAATAACTATGTCTAACTCCTTAGAACATAGAACATAGATCAGTGCAGCACAGTACAGGCCCTTCAGCTCATGATGTTGTGCCAAACTTTTACCCTAATCCTAAAGTCTATCTAACCTCCAACCCTACCTTATACTATCATCCATATGCCTATCTAATAGCCATTTAAATGCCCCTAATGAGGCTGACTCCACTACCCTCTCCGGCAATGCATTCCATGCCCCTACCACTCTCCGAGTAAAGAACCTACCTCTGACGTCTCCCCTATATCTACCTCCACTCACTTTAAAACTATGCCCCCTCGTAATAGCTACCTCCACCCTAAGAAAAAGTCTCTGGCTGTCCACTCTATCTATACCTCTGATCATTTTGTACAATTCTATCAAGTCACCTCTCATCCTTCGTCATTCTAAAGAGAAAAACCCTCGCTCTCTCAACCTTTCCTCGTGAGACCTTCCCTCCATTCCAGGCAACATCCTGGTAAATCTCCTCTGCACCTTTTCCAACGCTTCCACATCTTTCCTTAATCTTTCCTCCTTGAAAACATTCAATTTTTTGGCCTCTGTGGCAGAGAATTCCACAGCTCACCACTCTCTGGGTGAAGAAATCTCTCCTCAGGTTTGGAAGCAAGAGGTTATTTTATTTTATTATTTATACACAGCACGTCAGCATCACTGGTTAGGCCAGCAGTTATTAAACAGCTTTAATTGCCCACTTTAAGTCAACCACATTGCTGTGGGCCTGGAATCACATGTAGGCCAGACCAGGTAAAGGACATGAGTGAATCAGGTGAGTTTTATGACAATATCTTCATGGTTATCATGAGACATTTATTCCTGAGTTCACATCTGCCATTGCGGAATTTGAACCAGGTCTCCATAACATTACCTGAGCTTTTTGAAATAATAATCTGGCAATGATTCTGTTAGGCCATCATTCTCCACGTGTTAACTTTGTTTAAGTATATTCACAGGATGTGGGTGTCCCTGGCTAGACCAGCATTTATTACTCATCCCTAATTGCCCAGAAGGCAGTTAAGAGTCAACCCCATTCATAATTTCAGTTTTGTTTTTAATTCTTCAATTCAAATTACCGACAGGATTCAAACAGGTTAACAGCCAAGTGATAATGCCACTAGGCCATCACCTGCCCTTGATGTCTCACATGGAGTCAGGCAACACATGTGTTTGTTTTTTTTGGTGTGAGCGATGAGTGGAAATCTCTGACCTATTGGCAATCTCTGTGTCCCTCAGCCTCTCCGCCTGCACTGCGACCTGTGTAGCATCGTATCGAGCTCCGGCCAGATGCTGGGCCAGCGAGCGGGTTCCGTGATCGACCGTACGGCCTGTGTGTGGCGTATGAACAACGCACCCACAGCCGGATTCGAGGCAGATGTCGGCACCAGGACCAGCGTCAGGGTGGTATCTCACACCAGCGTGCCCCTCCTCAGGCAGAAGCAGCAGCATTACTTCGGAGAGGCCAACGAGACCATCTACGTGATCTGGGGGCCCTATCGGAACATGCGACGGGACGGGAAAGGGGCCACCTACAACGAGCTGCGGCAGATGGCAAGGAACTACCCCCATGCCAAGATCTATGTGACCACCGAGGAGCGGATGAACTACTGTGACAAGGTCTTCCAGCGGGAAACGGGAAAGGACAGGTCAGTTTCTCTTCTCCTGCTTTCCTTTGTGTGCCAGGTAGTTAGGGCAGCGCAGAGCTCTCCCATAAAACATTCAGTACTGTCAACACATTCCCAGCAGAGAAACAGACTCAACAGCTCCACCTCAACTGGGAAGGGAGATGATCACAGAACCAGCCTTGGCAAACAGCGGCATGTTGGTGTAGTCATAGGACTAGGATTCACACCCCAGGTTAATGCTGTGGGACAGAAACAAATTGCTGGAAAAGCTGAGCAGATCTGGCAGCATCTGTGGAGAGTTTCAGAGTTAATGTGTCAGGTCAAGTTACCCTCCCACAGAGCAGATGCTGTGTGGGTTTGGGGTCAAATATGTCCCTGACAGCTAACACCCTGAAATTCAATTCAATTAAAAGCTGGTCGAATGGTGACCACTGTTTGAAAACCCATCTGGTTCACTATATCTTTTCAGGAAGGAAATCTGCCATCTTTACCTGGTCTGGCCTACATGCCACTCTAGACCCACAGCTATATGGTTGACTCTTAACTGCCCTCTGAAATGGCAAACCACTTGAATCAAGGGGCAGTTGGAGATGGGAAATGAATGCTGGGCTATCAATGGATAAATAAAATGTTAAATTCACACCGTCAGAGTCTCACGGTGTTGGTGCCATTTTGACTTCAATTGTTCTTTTTCACTCTAAGAGTTTCTATATTTCTTCATGACATACAGATGCCACTGGCAAGACCAGTATTTGTTACCTAACCCAGATTGTCATTGAACAGAGATAGTAGGAACTGCAGCTGCTGGAGAATCTGAGATAACAAGGTGTAGAGCTGGATGAACACAGCAGGCCAAGCAGCATCAGAGAAGCAGGAAAGCTGACGTTTTGGGCCTAGACCCTTCTTCAGAAATGGGGGAGGGGAAGAGGGTTCTGAAATAAATAGGGAGAGAGGGGGAGGCGGATAGAAGATGGATAGAGGAGAAGATAGGTGGAGAGGAGACAGACCGGTCAAAGAGGCGCGGATGGAGCCAGTAAAGTTGAGTGTAGGTGGGGAGGTAGGGAGGAGATAGGTCAGTCCAGGGAGGACGGACATGTCAAGGGGGTGGGATGAGGTTAGTAGGTAGGAGATGGGGGTGGGGCTTGAGGTGGGAAAAGGGGATAGGTGGGAGGAAGGACAGGTTAGGGAGGCGGGGCGAGCTGGGCTAGGTTTGGGATGCAGTAGGGGGAGGGGAGATTTTGAAGCTTCAAAGTATCAATGTGGACTTCACAAGCTTCAAAATCTCCCCTGACCTGCCCGTCCTCCCTGGACTGACCTATCTCCTCCCTACCTCCCCACCTACACTCACCTTTACTGGCTCCATTCCCGCCTCTTTGACCAGTCTGCCTCCTCTCCACCTATCTTCTCCTCTATCCATCTTCTATCCGCCTCCCCCTCTCTCCCTATTTATTTCAGAACCTCCTTCCCCTCCCCCTTTTCTGAAGAAGGGTCTAGGCCCAAAATGTCAGCCTTCCTGCTCCTCTGATGCTGCTTGGCCTGCTGTGTTCATCTCTCTTGTCATTGAACAGAGCGGCTTTTAGATTGTCTCATTGAAAAGCTAATAGAAACCACATTGCTGTAGGCCTGGAGTCACAAATAGGCCAGACCAGGCAAGAATAGCAGATATCCTTCTCCTAAAAGGCATGGTGGAATTTGAATCTGTGTTTGCAGATGAGGGCACTGGGCTTCCCAAGTATTAGCCTGGTGGCATAGTGGAGGCAAAACGTAATGGTATTGTGACTGGACTGGTAAATGAGAGATGAGGAAACGTTCGGGGTAACCTGGGTTCAAATCCCACCAAGCTGGATGGTAAACTCAATAAATAGTAAATTATGGCCATGGAGTAATTGTGTTAAAAATCCAACTGGCTCACTAATGTCCTTTAAGGAAGGTCCTTATCAAGTCTGTCCTAACCATGAATATAGACCCATAGCTTTCCGAAATGGTGCAGCATGTTATTCAGTTGTATCAACTGCTAAAAATTCTTGAAAGGAATGAAACCAGACAGACATTGAGGTGGACAATTAAACAACTCACAGGAGGAGGCTCCATAAGTATCTCCATCCCCAGTAATGAAGCAGCCCAACACATCAGTGCAAAAGATAAGGCTGAAGCATTTGCAGTACGCTTCAGCTGGAAGTGCCGAGTGGATGAGCCATTATGGCCTGCAACAACACTCAGGAAACTTGCAAAAGCAGTTTTTTAAAAGTCATTCACTGGGTGAGGGTGTTGTTGGCTGGGCCAGCATGTATAATTCATCCCAGAACGCAGTTCAGAGTTAGGAATTAGAGATGAGCAATAAATGCCAGTGATGCCCACACCCCATGAATGAACAAAAAAAAATTGCCACTCTGTCACTGACTCATCATTGCATCATCTTAACTGCTCTCTCTTTCCAGTCTCGATAACTTTCTTTCATGCAAGTACCAAGGCCACACACGTCTCTGCTATAACTCCAACTTCTGTGAGACAACTTTTCATCTCCAATTGACCTCATACTGTCCTTATCTTTCTGTTTTGTTGCGAGGGTAATCAAATGCAAGAGTTATGTGGGGCACTGGTGAGACTGTGTCTGGAATACTGTGTACAGTACCGGTCAACGTACTTAGGGAAGGATGTTAATACATTGGAAGAAGTTCAGAGAAGGTTTACTAGGCTAATACCTGGAATGTGAGGATTACCTTGTGTGGAAATTCTGAGTGTACATCCTCACAAGGATTGATGCTGGGTCCACTGCTTTTTGTCATTTATATAAATGATTTGTATGTGAACATAGGAGGGGTGGTTAATAAGTTTGCAGATGTCACCAAAATTGGTGGTGCAGTGGACAGTGAGGAAGGTTATCGGATAGTACAATGAGACCTTGATCTGATGAGCCAATGGGCGGAGGAGTGGCAGGTGGAGTTTAATTTAGATAAATGTGAGGTGCTGCATTTTGGAAAGGCTTATACACTTATAGACTTAATGGTAAGGTCCTGGGAAGTGTTGCTGAATGAAGAAACCTTGGAATACAGATTCATAGTCCTTGAAAGTGGAGTCACAGGCAGGTAGGATAGTGAAGAAGGTGTTTGGTACACTTGCCTTTATTGCTCAGTGCACTGAGTATAGGAGTTGGGAGGTCATGTTGCAGCTGTACAGGACATTGGTTAGGCCATTTTTGGAATACTGCGTGCAATTCTGGTCTCTCTGCTATAGGAAGGATGTTGTGAAACTTGAAAGGGTTCAGAAAAGATATACAAGGATGTTGCCAGGTTTGGAGAATTTGAGCTGTAGGGAAAGGGTGAATAGGCTGGGGCTATTTTTCCTGGTGATTCGGAGGCTGAGGAATGACCTTATAGAGGTTTATAAAATCATGAGGGACATGGATAGGGTAAATAGACAAGGTCTTTTCTCCAGGGTAGCTGATTCCAAAACTATCCGGCATAGATTTAAGTTGAGAGGGGAAAGATTTAAAAGGAACCTAAAGGGGCAACTTTTTCACACAGAGATACATACATTCTTGATAATCAAGGGGAAAAAAAGGTCATCGGGGTATATGCAGGAATGTAGAGTTGAGGTTAAAATCAGATCAACTATGATCTTATTGGATGGTGGAACAGGCTGGAAGGGTGGGGTGGCCTTCTCCTGTTCCCTGTGCATATGAGCTTATAAAATCAATGAACATTTAGGGCCATCTGGAGGGATGCTTAAGGTCATGAGAGGGAACAGAGCAGTTTGCCTCCACAGTTTCAGGGTCAAGAAGCTTCAGTTGTGTGGACAATCTGAAAAAGTTGGGGTAAATTCTCCTTCGAGCAGAAAATGTGAAGGGTGAGATGTGACATTTATGAAGGGAATTACTTGAGTAAATCAAAAGAAATTCTTTCCAGTGTGCAAGAGTCTGAGGACACACATTTAAGGGAATTGTCCAAAGAATTGGAAGACATTCAAATTATTTTCACATAGACAGGTGTTATGATCTCGAATGCATGACCCAAAAGGGCTGTTGAAGCAGATTCCGTGGTAACTTTCTAAAGGCAAATGGGGACACACTTTCGCAGAGGAAATCTGCTGAAAGAGTGGAACTATTTAGATTGTTCTTTCAAAAAGCCAGCACAGGTTCAGTGGGTCGAATGGTCTCCTTTTGTGTTGGATAACTCCATGACAATCCCTTCCTAACTCTTGAGGGGCACAATCTCATTATGGGGTTTAGTGACACTCTATTCGATAGATTTTTCTTCTGACATTCCACATTGAAATGTCCCTTTAAGAAAATATGACGGCAGAGTGAAACATTTCTCAGTTCACGTTTTTGGAGTAAGTCACCTTCATGGAATCCTTTCTACCACTTTCGATCTTTTTTAGTCCAATCACTGGAAGTCATTGTATTCAATTAAGGAATAAAAATAACCCCAACATAGGAAGGGATGTGTTATGAATGTAGCTGGGTGGTTTTTGTAATTACTGTCGAAATTAATATCAGAATCAAAATTATTAATATTCATGAAAAGATTTTCATTTGTAGAATGACTAATTACGTCTTAACTCACTTTGTAGCTAATTATTTAGGCTAATGATATTGTGCAGTACAACATGGCATCCATTTTGCAACTAGCTTGTTCCTACAATGAACAATGGAATCCATTTTGGATGGTGTAGAGAGGAAATGGACTTTCTTTAACAGCAAGGAAATTCTTAAATGCATTCTTAAAAATATTACTTTAGTACTTATATTACTGGTGACTAGTAAAAGGCTCCAATCCTATAAACACGTTTTTTAAGCAAAGAATGCCCATATATCCAAACATAAAAAAAAAATCACCTAATTAGAAGTGACTTTCTGCAATGTGTTAACTATTGCTAGTGATAACCTGCTGTCCTATTTAAGGATGTATTGTTGATAACTTATATCACCACTGTGTCACAATAGCTCATTAACTACCCCCTGACATGACACATATAGTCTTCTAATAATCAATTGCTCATCACAGATCACTTAGTTCCAT